AGCAATTTCACTCCTAGATATGTTTCCAAGAGAATTGAGAACATGTCCACACACAAAAATTAGTACTGAGATGTTCATTGCATTATTCATAGTAGCTAAAATGTGGGGTCAGTGCAAATATTCATTAAGTAATGGATGAACCAAAAGTGTATATTTATACAGTGGAATATTATTCAGCAATAAAAAGGAATTCCGTATTACTTTACACTTAGTAGGAGGGCTGTAATTAAAAAGACAAGAACAAGTATTGATGAGGATGCAAAGAAATTGAAATCCTCATACATAGATGGTGGGAATTTTAAAAGCTGTAGCCATTCTGGAAATAAACTTAATTCAAAATTTAAATGTAGTGTTACCATTTACCAAACAATGCTATTCCTAGGCATATTCCTGAGAGAATTGAAACATGTATTTATAGAAAAACTTGTATACAAATGTTGATAGCAGTATAATTATTGTTATTTTTAATTTATTTATTTATTTATTTGTTTATTTATTTATTTATTTATTTTTACAGAGAGGAAGGGAGAGGGATAGAGAGTTGGAAACATCAGTGAGAGAGAAACATTGATCAGCTGCCTCCTGCACACCCCCTACTGGGGATGTGCTCATAACCAAGGTACATGCCCTTGACTGAAATTGAACCTGGGACCCTTCAGTCCGCAGGCTGACACTCTATCCACTGAGCCAAACTGGTTAGGACCATAGCAGTATTATTATGATAGCCAAAAGATAGAAACAACCCAGTGCCGCTATAAAAGTACTGTAACATGCTACAACATGGATGAACTTTAAAAACATATAGTAGTGCCTCCTTATTCGTGGTTTTGCTTTTAATGATTTCAGTTCCCTGCGGTTTTAAAATACTAAATGGAAAATTGCAGAAATAAACAATTCGTAAGTTTTAAGTTGCTCGCCATTCTCAGTTGCATGATGAAATCTCATACCATCGCACCCAGGACATGAATCATGCTTTTGTACAGCATATCCATGCTGTATACATTACCCACCTGTTAGTCCTTAGTAGTTCCTCATGGCTTGATTATTCAGGATCACCTGAAGTAGGGGAATCCTCCTCATACATCATCAGAAGGTCAGAAGTAGCCTAATGCTACATCACAATGCCTATATCATTCACTTCACTTTATCTCAACATGTAGGCATTGAATTATCTCACATGATCACCAGAAAAAGGGTGAGTACTATACAATAAGATTTTTTGAGAGAGTACATCCACATAACTTTCATTACAGAGTATTGTTTTGTTTTATTTTATTATTAATTATTATTACTTTCTTACTGTGCATAATTTACCAATTAAACTTTATCATTGCCCTGGCCCGCATGTCTTAGTGGATAGTGTCAGCAGTGCACCAAAGGCTCTTTCTTGTGTTATATTCCTGGTCAAGGGCATGTACCTGGGTTGCAGGTACAATCCCCGGCCCTGATCAGGTTGCATGTGCGAGGCAACCGATTGATGTGTGTCTGCCACATTAATGTCTCTCTCCCCCTACCTCCATCCCTCCCTTTCACGCTCTCTAAAAATCAATGGGAAAAAATCCTTGGGTGAGGATTAACAAAAAAATAAATAGACTTTATTATAAACTAGAGGCCCGGTGCATGAAATTCGTGCACATGGGGTTGTTAGGTCCCTAAGCCCGGCCTGCGCCCTCTCGCAGTTCTGGACCCCTCTGGGGATGTCCACCTGCTGCGGAGGTGGAAGAGGCTCCCACCATCACTGCTGCTCTTGCCAGCCGTGAGCCCGGATTCTGGCTGCGCAGCACTCCCTCTTTGGGAGCGCACTGACCACCAGGGGGCAGCTTCTGTGTTGAGAGTCTGCTCCCTGGTGGTCAGGTCAGTGCAAGTCATAGCGACTGGCTGCTGTTTGGTCAATTTGCATATTTGGGTTTTATTATATAGGATATATATATAGGAAAGAGCATAGTACATATAGGAGGCTCAGTATTATCTATAGATTCACGCATCCAGTGTGATCTTGGAACCTATCCCCCGTGGATTAAGGGGGTTGCCTACTGTAAAAGGAGAAAAAAAAGATCACCTATGGTATGTTTGTATTCATATGAATCTCCCAAGCAGGCAAATTTATAGAGACAGTAAGTAGATTAGTACTTGCTAGAACCTGTTGGCAGTGCAGTATTGGGACTGACTGCTAATAGAAATGGGATTTATTTTGGGGATGATGCAAATATTCTGACATTTAGTGTTGATGGCTGTACAACATAATAAAATACACTGAAGTGTACACTTTCAAATAGTGAATTTTATATTGTGTGAAATATATCAAGATGCTGTATAAAACAATACTTGGTCTATAGTGATATGCATTTTATAGTTTGATAAATATTGCCAAGTTGTCCTACATTGAGGTGGTATAATTTATATTCTCAGAAGCTATGTATGAGTGCTGTTTTCCTCACATTCTTGCCATTGTGGTTTGTCATTAAAAGTTTTAATCTTTGTCAGTATTACTATTGAAAAATGATAACCTAATGTAGACTATTATATTTCTCTAATTATAATCAAGATTGAATATCTTTTCATGTACTGAAAAGTCGTTTATATTTCCTTTCCCATAATCTTTCCATTCTTACCTATTGTCTGTTTTTTTATTAGTGTTGGTTTTTTTTTTCTTATTGATTTGTAGAACAGTTTTATATGTTATCTTTTTTCCCTACGTTGTTTTTCTTTCGACATAATGGTGTGTTTTTACTATGAGCACTATCTTCACTGTGTAATAGAGCCCATTATAGCATTGCTCCATCTTGTTTTAAGCCAAAATCCTAAGTCCTATCTCAATGACATCATTGATGAGGTCTCTTCAGTTTTCTGGTGCTTATCATTGTACTCCTTCTAAGCTGTGTCAGCTTAACATATCTATTTGTAAATGTGTTTGTATATCTGATATTAGAATATTTTTGAGGGGAACGAAATGAGGAAGGAAGGGTTTGAATACAATCATTGATCCCAAATTTTGATTTTAGACAAATACTAAAATGAAAGTAATTTATTACTTTTTTCTCTAAAATGTGAAAAACAAAATCAGTAGATTAGTACATAGATGTGTGCCCTGGCCAGTGTGGCTTGGTTAGTTGGAGCATTGTCCCGTACACCAAAAGGTAGCAGGCGTAAGCCCAGGTTGTGTGTGTACCTCTGATCATGGCTCATGGGGGAGACAAATGATCAATGTTTCTCTCTCACATTGATGTTTCTCTCTCTCTCTCTCTCCCTTCTCTCTAAAAATTATTAAAAATATTCTCTGTGAGGATTTTTTTAAAAAGTGTTATGAGAGAATTTAATGTTCCTTGCCTGTTTTTGGAAAATAAGTAAATAGGAGCTTTGTGACATACTTTTGGTAGGGAGGTCAGTGAAGACCTTTCTGAGGAGGTAGCATTTAAGCACAGACACAGTTGAAAGGAGTCAGCCATGGGGAATCTGGAGAAGGACATTCTGTGCCTTAAGGAAACATGGAATTGGAATCTGTAAGATGGCATCTCTGAGTAGCAGAAAGGAGGCATTATGGCTGGAGCTTAGTAAATTGGGGTAGAAGAAGTAAAGAGATTACAATGCTAAGGGCTTTGGACCATGCATTGAGAAACTATCAAGAGTATTAAGCAAAGGAGTAACATTATGCTTGAGCAGACTACTTTGGCTTCTAGATGGAGGATGAAGAAGATGGTAAGAAAAGAAACAGGGACAGTAATTAAGAGGCTGTGGCCAGAGCCATACCAGAAATAAGGATGGTGGCAGACTAGATGGAGAAGAATTCTTAAATTGTAGGTATGGTTTAAAGGTAGAGTCAGCCCAGCATGGCTCAGTGGTTGAACACTGACCTATGAACCAGGAGGTCAGGGTTCGATTTCCTGTCAGTTACCTGCCTGGATTTCGGGCAGCTGATCAATGATTCTCTCTCATTATTGATGTTTCTATCCCTCTCTCCCTCTCCCTTCCTCTCTGAAATCAATAAAAAATATTAAAAACAAAAACAAAGGTAGAATCAGCTAGATTTGATTTGTTGGGTGTTAGGGATAGTGAAAAGAAAAGATACAGATTATCCCAGGCAAATGTTACTAAAATCTATTTAAGTACTCTTCATGGAATCAAGTATGGGAAGTAAGGATTATAAATAATGATACATAAGCTTATATTTGTGTAGTGCTTTGAAAATACTGCCACATCCATAACCTCATTTTGGGTTCTTTAATTTTTTTTAATTGAAACTTGTTGGCAGTTCAGATACAGTGGGGCCTTGACTTACGAGTTTAATTCATTCAGAGACCGAGCTCGTTAAGGAGCTCGTTAACTCAAATTACTCTATCAACTCAATGCAAAAAATTGGCCAAGAGACAGCTGGTATCTCAAAAAACTCATTAGTCAGGACACTCATAAGTCAAGGCCCCACTGTATTTTCTGAGTTCAGTTCGTTTTTCTAAAATAGATCTTAACTGGCATTCAGAAGTATTGAGATTACTTAAAATTCTCATACACAAAAGGCAATCCTTCCCAAAACTAAACATTATCCTTTTCAAAATTAGTGTGGTTTTTTTTGGGGGGGTGGGGGGGTGGGGATGGGGGAAGGAGGTGTAATTTATTTTTTAAGGAATGGAGTAGAAGTTACAAAATTTTTCTTAATTTTTTAAATGTTCCAGACTGTTACATAATACAGTTAAATTAACAGAATTCACATTAGATTGCAGTGATTATTAAACATTTTTACTTTTGGAATAGAGGTTATTGCACACTGTATAATTTGAAGTAAAATTAAAATAAAAATCTTAAAGCTACCACATATATATATATTCAGTACTTTCTAGCGTAATTTTGTTATATATGATATGAAAATCTGCAATTAATGACTTTTTCCCTACCAGGCCTTTTCAAAAATTCAGTTTTTAGCATTAATCGTTAAATAGAACAGATTTGCATGAATCGGTGTATTAGTTCCTCAAGGAAAAATGAAATCAATCTTATTTATTTTTCAGAGGTGGCTGGATCCAAACAAACCAATAAGGAAGCAGTTAAAGAGTGAGCATATATATTTACTTCATGTTTTGTAAGTGTACTTTATAAAGATGCAGGATTAATATAATCTGATTAATTAGAACTGCTTTCATTAATTCTAGGAGGATCTCCTTACAGTTTGAACTTCAGAGTCAAATTTTTTGTAAGTGACCCCAACAAGTTACAAGAAGAATACACAAGGTGAGTTTATGGAGCATATTTTTCTTAAAAATATTTTCAAGACTATTATGAAATTAATTAGGGAAAAATAGATTGCCATGCCATAATTCTGAGTTTACTAGCAGCACACAGAATAGGTCATAGATGTTTCAAGAAAACAGTTTACTTCCCTTCTGGATGACAGGTAATGCTTTAGGACAGTGGTCAGCAAACTGCAGTTCGCAAGCCACATGCGGCTCTTTGGCCCCTTGAGTGTGGCTCTTCCACAAAATACCGACTTCTGCGCATGGGCCACGAAGTTTCAATCGCACTGTACATGTGCGCCCGCACGTGGTATTTTGTGGAAGAGCCACACTCAAGGGACCAAAGATTCGCACGTGGCTCGCGAGCCGCAGTTTGCTGACCACTGCTTTAGGAGATTGGAACCCCAGGGCCACCCCATCCAGCCACAAGAAGCCTCCTGAGCTACATAAATATTGAGATTTTCCAGTGAAAACTGGTTAAGCTGCTTTGCTGTAACTAATTGAAGTAATCAGATACTGCTTCATTTTAAGCGGTGCTATATAGTGAGAATTGTGCCTGCTTTTCCCCCTATAAAAATATTTAACCCTTGAAAAGCATGGTTAGGCACATCAACCACCTTTGCAGTCAAAATCTGTGAATAACTTAAGTTGTCCTCCATATTAGCTGATTCCCAACTGCAAATTGAAAATACAAGAATGGCCCAGATGAGTATTTTGATAGTATATTAATGTTAGATAACTGTTTAAGGAATACATAGTGAGGAATAATCACAGTGTGGTAACTGTCATTATTAAAATAACCTTAAGAACCCTGGCCAGTGTGGCTCAGTTGGTTGGGTATGGTCCTGTGCATTGAAAGGTCACCATTTCCATTTCCGGTCAGCCCACATGCTTGGGTTGCAGACTTGATCGTTGGTAAGGGGGTGTGTAGGAGGCAGCCAATCAATGTTCCACTCTCACATTGATGTTTCTCCCTTTCTTTCCCTTCTCTCTCTAAAAAATCAATTTAAAAAATCTTTAAGTAACCTGAAGGATAACCACGTGTGTTGCTTGAAAGATAATTAGTAATTCACTAGTACCCTGCGCATGAATTCGTGTGCCAGTAGCTCTCTGTGGGGCCTGGCCGCTCCGTGCCCGCTGCCCAGAGGCCCATCTGCAGCGGGGCGCAGAATGCTTGCCTTGTTGCCAGGGCGATGATGCAAGCATTCCACCAGGCCGCTCATGCTGCCCACTCTCTGTGGCTGCCCCCCCAGGACTGGGAGACTCCAGCGGGGCTGAGGACTATGTGCTGTCATCTTGTGGCTATGGGTGCCACCATCTTTGTGATGGAGTGATGGTTAATTTCCATATTACCCTTTATTAGATAGGGTTAGCAAAATAAGACAGAATAAATATTAACATATTATACCTTCCATAAAAGATATAAGAATATAGGTCAGTGACTATATTCACAATTATTCTAAAAGTTAGGTGCCAAATTTAAAATCTGTACCTAAAGTTATATTAATGTAGATATTAATGTATTGGTTATCCTTTAGAATACTCAGGTGAAGTAGAGCAACAAAAGAATAAATTAAAGACATTTCCCTGCCAATCCTCAGGTGTTTCTGAAGCAGAGTTTTCAGTAGATAAAGTAAGAAAAATTAGATTCACATCCTTTAGAGTCCTTTTCTTTTTTTTAATATATTTTATTGATTTTTTACAGAGAGGAAGGGAGAGAGATAGAGAGCTAGAAACATCGATGAGCGAGAAACATCAATCAGCTGCCTCCTGCACATCCCCTACTGGGGATATGCCCGCAACCCAGGTACATGACCTTGACCGGAATCGAACCTGGGACCTTTCAGTCCGCATGCCGACACTCTATCCACTGAGCCAAACCGGTTTCGGCTAGAGTCCTTTTCTATGTGTTTGTTGTTGGGGGAGTGGGGACAGTAGGTTACCTTTTTTATAACAGGAGAATTCAAGAATATAGGCTCTGGATTAGGTAGTTCAAACTAATAGTATCCAAGCTAATTTATCTTGAAAAGCGAAATTGTGTTATATGAATACCCTTTAGTTTAATACTGTTGCTCTTAGATTTTGTTGTTGTTGTTAATTAACATAACAAGATTTTTAGTATAGTAAAACCTATTCTTGGATGAACTTTAAGGAAGCTACACTGAATTAATGAAAATTGTGATTTGTAAAGTATTTTTAAATGCATTTTATTGTTTCCTGGTACATATAACTTGAAATCAAGTAGCAAAGTATTCTGTAATACAGGTTGTGCCCAAATTATGTATACACACTTTAACAGCTGGTAGCTCAGTTGATGTTTCTTTCTGTGGAAGCAAGTTCCTCCTTGATCCTTCTTGAGCACAGTTCCTTGGGCACAAGGTATTAAACGGAGAAGACAAGACATATGGTAGGCATATAGGAGAGACTTTATTGTAGACCCAAGTAGCCATTGCTAACAAGGAGCCATCAGACAAAACAGTTCTTCAAAGTAGCCAAAGGAGCCGTGCACCAGCTGGTCAGTAACACATCTTTATACGAACTCAGACAAAAGAGGCTTCTTGCCAAATAGTGACATCAGTATTTGGCTTATAGAAAAGTATGCCTGTGCAGTGTGTGCAGTAAAACTGCTGTGTCATTGCCTTTGCACAAGTGTATGGCAAATTGGCCTTGAACATCCGGTGTACTCTGGTTAGGGTTCCCACACTTTCTCTTCAGATTTAACCCATTGAAATGAATAATTATTCAAAATATGTATGCATTTTTTCAGAACATCCTGTATGTTTTAGTAATCAGATTTTTAAATGTGTAATAAATATTTGTAATTAAAATATCAATAAATTTAAATTGGATTTCCAATATATTTAATGTTTATTGAGTTTGTTAGCATAAGCAATTAAAATATTGTCAATTATAGCTATATTCATAATTTACTCAAAAAACTGTCTTTGACTTTCTTAACAAAACTTGAATGTGTTGATTTTTGTATAGCTTTTTTGAAGATATAGTCAAGGAATAAATGTGTCTCACTGATAATTAAATCAAAGCATATTCCAGAAGTAGAAGAAAGTAAAATCAAATTTTATAGTAATCGAGAAAGTATTTACTCAGTCCATCAGTCTAGAAAATTATCTTTGTTTTCACTAGAAATAATACATTATTTCAAAAATCCTTTATAATGGATTTGTAATGTTACAACTGGCACTATTTGGTAATTGGGGTAAGTGGCTAGTTTGTACTTTATTACCATAGTGTACATTGTGCATCAGTGAATCTCTACACTGATTACAAATTAGAATCACTTAGGGTAGCTCTTGCTTTGGCCACACCCCCTGGGTACTCTGATTTAATAGGTCTCAAATGGGACCTGTGCATAAGCATTACAAGCTTCCCAGGTGACTCAAATATTCCACTAGGTTTAAGAAATACTCCTTTAAAACTTTAGTGCTTAAGTAGCTTTAACACGATGGTCCGGATTAGTAATAAGACACCCTTGGGGCCACAGTTGCTAATTGTAAGGACTAGTACAGTGATGGCGAAACTTTTGAGCTTGGCGTGTCAGCATTTTGAAAAACCCTAACTTAACTCTGGTGCCCTGTCACATATAGAAATTTTTTGATATTTGCAACCATAGTAAAACAAAGACTTATATTTTTGATATTTATTTTATATATTTAAATGCCATTTAACAAAGAAATATCAACCAAAAAAATGAGTTCGCGTGTCACCTCTGACACACGTGTCATAGGTTCGCCATCCCTGGACTAGTATAAGCCCCACAAAACAGGAAATCAGCTATACCTCCTTACCTTGGGATTCCATTTTAGGTTAGTGGTAAAAAAAAAAAAAAAAAAGAATGGACTTACAGAGCTTCCAAATGAAACATAATTTACTTTTGCTGGCATCATTGGAATTGGAGTTTACTCAGGAGTCGAGATAATACAAATGACATCACTTTTCATACCTTTTTAGAGCATGATAAGTATTCATTATTGTCTGGATTAGAAAAGTTTCGTTATTTTTACAGCTTATAAAGGTGATTATCTAAACTTACCTCAGTCATTATTAATCTGTTTTAAAGGTCTTAATTGTCTTTCAAAATTAGGCTTGTATTTTCTGATTAGGGCCCCTAAGATACCTATACTAGGCTGTGGTTCTTCTTTCTTTTTACAAATAGAGAAACAAGACCCAACCAAATTTTAAGTAACTTGCCAAAGATTATAGGCTGGCTTACTTTAGGACTTACAGTTTTGATTTAGCTTATTCTGGTTTCCATTCTGTCAGTCTTTAATGATTAGTATGTAAATAAAATTCAGCAAGCACATAGGTATTATTTGTGTAGTATTCAGAATATTATGTCAAGGATATACATGACCTTTCAGTCCTAACTATAAGATTGTTTCCACCAGGAACCTTTAACTTTTTTTTTTTTATCCTCATCTAAGGATGTTTGCCATTGAATTTTTAGAAAATGTGGAAGGGGGTGATGAGAGGGAGGGAAAAAAAGGAGAGGGAGGAAAGCATCGATTGGTTACCTCCTGCTCTTGCCCCAATTAGGTGATCAAAGCTGCAACTGAGGTATTGCCCTTGACCAAGAACTGAACCAAGGGTTGACATTCTAACCACTGAGCAATCGGCCAGACCAGGGACCTTTAACTTTTAATTATGCAACTAAGATGGCTGGATAGAAATATGTTGTCTTAGATTGAGTAAGCAATAATATTTGTAATATTATGTATTAAGCCTCAGAGAATTTATTAATATTCTAGAGGCCCGGTGCATGAAATTTGTGCATGGAGGGTGGTCCCTCAGCCTGGCCTTCACCCTCTCCAATCTGGGACCGTTTGGGGGATGTCCACCTGTTGATTTAAGCCCGATCCCTGTGGGCTTAAACCAGGGGTGGGCAAACTTTTTGACTCGAGGGCCACAATGGGTTCTTAAACTGGACCGGAGGGCCAGAACAAAAGCATGGATGGAGTGTTTGTGTGAACTAATATAAATTCAAAGTAAACATCATTACATAAAAGGGTACGGTCTTTTTTTTCAATAGTTTTATTCATTTCAAGCGGGCCGTAGTTTGCCCACGGCTGGCCTAAACCAACAGTGGACATTCCTCTCTCAATCTGGGACTGCTGGCTCCTAACCACTCGCTTGCCTGATTGCCCAGTAACTACTCCCCTGATGGCCTGATTGATGCCTAACTGCTCCCCTGCTGGCCTAATCACCCCCAACTTCCCTCCCCTGCCTGCCAGATCGCCCCCAACTGCCCTCCCCTGCCGGCCATCTTGTGGCGGCCATCTTGTGATGACATTGCACGTGACGCTACCTAGGCTTTTATTATATAGGATGAAGCCAAGATATTTGTATCAGCTCTTTTTAAAAAAAAAAATTACAATCAATACCTAATTTTCTAAAACCTTAATTACATTCTTTGATAATTTGAATGGTCGTGGAACTCTTTAATGACTTTAATCAAACAAAATTTTTAATGATTTTTAACTCTTGGAGTATGTATCCACTTTTTAGTGGGGTGAAGTCTGTAAATTCCTCATTTAAACATTTAAAGCCACAAATTTTGGTCTTCTACCAATATTATACAGCACAGGTGGTTTTGCCAAGCATTGATACATCTGTGCGGGAATGACTTCACCCACTAGCAGGGACAGGACAGTGCCATCTTGTAAGCAACCCTAGTATTCTTGTTATAGGATACTTACATTTTTTTTTAAGGAAATTGGGTACTTGGAAATTCTAATATTAGATCAGTTGTAGGTAAAGGAACTTAATGTGGGTTTTTTGTTTTTATTTAATCAAAGAGAGGTTTCTTAACTCATATGAAGAGGGAAAGGTGCTTTTCTGCAGTCAATAGCTTCTTGCTGCCAGAAGATAATCAGCACACAGGCCTGTTCTTGAAGTTGGCTTCCCATCTCAGCAGAAAGAATGATTTTCTTCTACTGGTCTCTAGTGCATTGTTACTGTCAGCTTTCCTATGTCTGTTGTGCTTCCCAGCATACTTTCTGCATACACCAATCCTTAGAGTATTTCTCTCTAATCTTCTCCCTATGTCATGTAACTCTTAGCAAGCGTTAGGAGTTTTATAATGGATCTAGTGGAAACAATACAGTTGAAGTACAAAATTTCATTTATCAAACAATTTCAAAACTTGGATTCATGAATTTATGAAAGCTTATTTTTAAAAGATCTTGTGTTAATATGTACATTATTGAAGTAAATACTTAAATATTTAAATTTTTATTTGTTAATATAAGTATATAGTTTTTAATATCTAAATGCTATAATTCCAATAAATGCTAACTATCTTTTTTTTTTTTTTAAGGTACCAGTATTTTTTGCAAATTAAACAAGACATTCTTACTGGAAGGTGGGCTATTATACATTTTTAGTAATAAGTTTAAGAATACTCTTAGTTCTATATTAAGAAATTCAAGACTTTTGCAAACTATCTATTGAAAAAAAGTTACATATAACATTAATTCCTTTCATCAAATAAGTTCATTACTTAATAGTTAAAATATAAGTCAACATAGAAATTTCAAGTGTAACTAGTATAAATTATCATGCTTTTGAAATCATTGTGTGTAACTTTGGGCTATGTATTTTCTGTTTTGTTTTATTAGATTGCCCTGTCCTTATAATACTGCTGCCCTTTTGGCTTCATTTGCTGTTCAGTGTAAGTATCAGCCCAGGATTTTATTTTTTATTGATTTTTCGAGATGGAGGAAGGGGGAGAGAGAGATACATTGATCAGTTGCCTCCCATACTCACCCCAATCGGGGATGGAACTCATAACCTAGGCATGTGCCCATATTGGGAATCAAACCCATGACCTTCAGGTGCTCTGTACAAAGCTCCAGCGAACTTAGCCACACCGGCCAGGGCCGGCAAATAACATATAATTACACTAGAGGCTTGATGCACGAATTCGTGCACTGGTGGGGGCCAATCAAGGGTGGGGGCCAATCAGGGGTGGGGCCAGCCAGGGCGAGGGGCCTCAATTGTTCCGGTCATTTCGGTCATCTGCTATTTGGTCGCTGGACTTTTATTTATAGGATTAGCTTAGACAGCCATAACAAAATATCATAAATTTGCGTGGCTTAAACAACATAAATGTATTTCTCTCACAGTTCTGGAAGCTAGAATTTGGGGTCAGGGTACCAGCATAGCATCATCCCATACACCAGAAAGCGGTGGATCAATTGCCAGTCAGGGCACATGCCCAGGTTGCAGATTCAATACTCAGTCCAGTGAGTGCAGGAAACAACAGAACAATGTTTCTCTCTCTCTCTCTCTCTCCCTTCTCTCTGAGATCTATTAAAATGAATGATAAATAAATAATGTTCTGTATGTATGGTTTTAACAGGAAGGACATTAGTGATCTATGAAGTGAAAAACTCATTATAACACATTTATATAGCATGACTCCATTTTTCAAAAAAATATTTATTGATTTCAGAGGAAGGGAGAGGGAGAGAGAGATAGAAACATCAGTGATGAGAATCATTGATCAGCTGCCTCCTGCACGCCCCCTACTGGGGATCTAGCCCGAAACCTGACTAGGAATCAGATCGTGACCTCCTGATTCATGAGTGGATGCTCAACCACTGAGCCCCACCAGCCGGGCCCCATTTTTATCAACACATGAGGTACATTGGCAAGATCTCACTCCTAGACGGAAGTCTGAAATTGCCCAAACTCCTTTGCAACTAGGTTTCTGGATATGAATTCGTTTCTGCCTATTGGATACACTTGCACAATATTTTGAAGGCAGAAGTGGGGCAGAGGCATCTTCCTGAAGTTTGGCTGTTTGCTGCTGGTGATCATGTTTGCAGAGATGTGGAGGTTTTCTGCAGCGGAATCCAGGCTGTGCACAGACAGTTGTGGCAGAGGCAGTGTCCAGTGACCTGTTTTGTAGGAGCTGGGGGGCACTTGCGGGGGCAGCAGTTTCCTGATACTCCGGTCACAGCTGCTCCAGAGTGTCCTCATATTCAGTTGTGTCTGAGGGGGCAGCTCCTCCCGCTGGGCAGGGAGCCTTTCCTGGGGGCCCAGCCTAGCACCCACTCCTCCAGCTTTCCGATGATTTCCCAAGCACCAGCTCCCTGTGCTAAATTCTTTCCTGCCTAAAATAGCAAAGATCTGCCGGGAGCCGGTCCATGCTTGCTGTTTCAAGGGACCTGGCATATATGGCATACTGTTCTTAATATGTTTGCTCACCTTCTTGGCACTATGTGTTTTAACCAAGGTCTCTGAGAAAGGGTGTTTCCCCAGGTAGGGATTTTCCCCTGAAGTTAGGGAGGGAATAAAACCTCTTAACTAAGTGCCAGGCGGGTAATTAATCACTTTAACTATGAACAATCATGCTTAAGCTACATAATCTTTACTCCCTGGAATGGAGATAAGAAACGCCCTAACCTTTGTAATAGAGATTGATAGGATTGAATCAACTGGTATAAATACAGATGTTATAAGACAGCAAGACAGAACTTAGAATGCAGAACTTAGAACACAGAACTTAGAACACAGAACCAGGAGGCACAGAACCTACACAGAACGTTCTCTAGAGACAGAAGAACTTCGCTGGAGAGAACATGGCAAAAGTTCCTGGACAGAAACTGGCCTCAGAACCTAGAGACAGAACCTAGCAAGAGAACATGGCAAAAGATCCTGGACTGAACCTGACTACAGAAATTGGCAAGAGAACCTGACTAGAACCTGGTAACTGAACTTCTCTGGAGATCCAGACCAGAACTTGGCTGGAGATCCTGGCTAGAGATCCTGGCTAGGCTGCTGCTCAACTGAACGCAGTCTCCGTGTCCTTCCTTCTTCGCCGACTCCGTCTACACCTTTGGGGACCCCTGGACCTGCTGGGGCAGGACCCCGGCATCTGGCGCCCGAACAGGGACCCCTAGGTAAGCGCCCCACACTCGGGACGGATAGGACTCCACTGTAGAAAGAGGGTGGATAGTCTTTGCCCCACAATCGGGACGGATCGGACTCCACCATAGGAAGAGGGTGGATAGTCTTCGCCGACTCCGTCCACACCTTTGAGAACCCCTGGAACAGGATTCCCCTAGGTAAGCCCCCCCCATTGAGAACCCCCACACTCGGGATGGATAGGACTCCACCAGGGTGCTACAGACCCCCCTATAGACGATAAGTAGGGTAAGAAGGTGGATAGTACAGAACTTAGATTGAGAAGATGTGCCATACTGAGTCCAAAGAAAGAAGACTCTGTATTGATCCTTAGATTGAGAAGATGTGCCATACTGAGTCCAAAGAAAAAAGACTCTGTATTGATCTTTTAACATATATGCTTGCTAGCAGAGGAATTAAGGTTACTCCCAGTCAGACAGAACGTTTTATACAAGAAATATGTCCATGCTTTTCTGAGGAAGGAAAGGTAAATGTAATGGCATGGGAGGAGGTAGGCCCAAGGAGCCTTATCCTTAACCCCACTGCAGCCTTTCCACCCTGGGAAAGTGCAGGATTGGCAAGCTCTCCCTGGGGTGATAGATCAGGACTCAGGTAATAGCGGAAAGCGTCAATCCTACTCTTAAAATGGATACAAGAGAGAATTTCGGGGTTTTCTTTTTAATGCCTGCTTTTAAAAAATAAAAAAGGGGGAATTTGCCGGGAGCCGGTCCATGCTTGCTGTTTCAAGGGACCTGGCATATATGGCATACTGTTCTTAATATGTTTGCTCACCTTCTTGGCACTATGTGTTTTAACCAAGGTCTCTGAGAAAGGGTGTTTCCCCAGGTAGGGATTTTCCCCTGAAGTTAGGGAGGGAATAAAACCTCTTAACTAAGTGCCAGGCGGGTAATTAATCACTTTAACTATGAACAATCATGCTTAAGCTACATAATCTTTACTCCCTGGAATGGAGATAAGAAACGCCCTAACCTTTGTAATAGAGATTGATAGGATTGAATCAACTGGTATAAATACAGATGTTATAAGACAGCAAGACAGAACTTAGAATGCAGAACTTAGAACACAGAACTTAGAACACAGAACCAGGAGGCACAGAACCTACACAGAACGTTCTCTAGAGACAGAAGAACTTCGCTGGAGAGAACATGGCAAAAGTTCCTGGACAGAAACTGGCCTCAGAACCTAGAGACAGAACCTAGCGAGAGAACATGGCAAAAGATCCTGGACTGAACCTGACTACAGAAATGGGCAAGAGAACCTGACTAGAACCTGGTGACTGAATCTGGCTGGAGAACCTGGACTGAACCTGGCTGGAGAACCTAGCAAGAGAACATGGACACAGAACCTGGCTGGAGATCTGAGGCAGAACCTCTCTGGAGATCCAGACCAGAACTTGGCTGGAGATCCTGGCTGGAGATCCTGGCTAGGCTGCTGATCAACTGAACACTGTCTCCGTGTCCTTCCTTCTTCGCCGACTCCGTCTACACCTTTGGGGACCCCTGGACCTGCTGGGGTTGGACCCCGGCAAAGATCTAAAAACATTTTGGATCCTCTACTTCCAACGAAAACAATGCTGCACAGGGTCAGGTATGAGCAGTGGGTGAGGTGTTGCAGAAGGCTCCCTTCTTTGAGACTCAGCTTCTTCTGTAGAATGGAGACCAAAGATTATCTGTTCGTATTTCCTGAAGACTGTGGCAGCTGTGTTTCCTGAAAATGGCAACAACATTTCCCATTTCTCCTGTGGCCTTGCCACTTTCCGCTATGTCCTCTCTCTTGAAGCAGGGCTGACATCTGACACGCTGGTCGCCAGTACAGTGATTCCCCACAGAATTCCAAGGCCAAGGCTGAAAAGGCATGGGGCTGCAACCCCCCCCACCCCTCTCACTCTGCCAGGGTTTCCAGCTCGGGCCCCGCCCACACCGCTCGGGGCTCTGGCTGGCACTGAGCATTGCCCTCCTGGCTCTCTTTCCCTCCAGTCGGCAGCCAAGCGCCTTGCTGCACACCATGGCCCACCTGCTGGTGCTGCTCGGCCCAGCAGGCGGGGTTGGGCCTTGTGCCTCCTGGTTCCCATGTGCCGCCACCCCCTGCGCCCCGTGGCCCCTATTCCTGCCGCTGCTGAGACTGGGGCCAGATGCCCGGGTGCTGTGCTCGGCCTGCGGGGACTTCTGTGGCCACCAGGAAAGCCTCCCCACCCCATCCCTGATTCCAGCACCTTAATCCCAGGTCCACTTCCACCAAAGGAGAACTTTGCCCGCACAGCTGCCTGAGACCGAGCACCTCCAAGGTCCCTGGACTCCATATTTCTGCCAGCCAAGGCTGTTGGCCGGCTGGCCCTGCCCTGATCAGGGTATTGGGGGCGACCTGGCCCAGATCAGGCTGGTTGGCTGCCACAGTGCGTATCATAGCCACCGGATGTTCTGGTTGTCCTGGTCATGCCACTGTAATGGTCTCTGGGTTTTTATATATATAGGCTAGTGGCCCAGTGCACGAAATTCATGCACGGGAGGGGGGTTTCCTCAGCCCAGCCTGCATCCTCTTCTATCAGGGATCTCTTGGGGGATGTCTGACCCCCGATTTAGGCCTGATCCCTCTGGGGCCTAAACCAGTAGTCGGACATCCCTCTCACAATCTGGGACTGCTGGATCCTAACCGCTCACCTGCCTGACCAACCCTAACTGCCTCTGCCTGCCTGCCTGATTGCCCCTAGCCCCTCTGCCTGCCTGCCTGCCTGATCGCCCCTAACTGCCTCTGCCTGCTTGCCTGATTTCCTCTAACTGACCTCCCCTGCCAGCCTGATCTCGCCCCCAACTGTATTACCCTGCTGGCCTGGTCACCCCTAACAGCCTCTGCCTCAGCCACCACCACCATGGCTTTGTCCAGAAGGAGGTCGGACGTCTGGAAGATGTCCGGTTGATCTGGTCTAATTACAGTATTACCCTTTTAGTGGTATAGATAGATTATATAGGATAGGATTGCTTAAATTGGGGGGGGGGGGGGAGCCTTTTTCATTAGGAGGAGATGCTCTTGGCAGACAAAAATACATAATCCCTATATCTGGACTGATAGCGAGCCATATACAGTATACTTCCAAACCGGTCATTAAAAAATTGAACTGCTTTCTTACCTTACACCAAACAGCTGTTGCCCTTAAAACCCCTCCTTAGCTCCCACCTTAGGTTCTGCCTTCACAGTTCACCCAGATTAGGTTCTAATTGGTCAGTTTCTATGCCAGTCAGCATCAAAAGCTCTGCCTCCTAGGCAGCCATTGGCTGCTCCCACTTTACCCAGATTTTGTTCTCATTGGTCAGTTTCTGTGCCAATTAGCATCTCTGGGCCTATCAACAGACCTGATCAGAGAAGCGGGGCTGATCTGCAGAGGCCCAAGAGAAAGAGAGGCATGGATGCTGGCCACGTCCGGAGTGAAAGAGGGGCAAGTGCTGATCAACAACTGCCATGGAGGCTATGGATCAATCCCTGCTTTTCTCTCCAGTTCTCTCTTCGGGACTGATCCACAGCCCCCTCAGCAGTCAATGCTGGGTCGGGGTGCCCGCAGCTGCAGCAGTCAGTGCTGGGTCCCCATGGCAACCCAGCACTGACTTCCGGTAAATCGTTTTGGATGTTACAGGCCCTGGGTTTTTATATATTAAGATGGCCTGTATGAATAGTACATTGCATTTAATGTATAAGTTCTTTAGACATAAGTTGCTGTACAGAAGAAAGTGACTGCAGAGGAAATGTAATGACCTTCCAGTTAGTTAGCAATTACTTCAATCCTAGAAAAATATTCTCAAGGTGTTTTAAATCTAGAAGAATGTTATATGCATTGTTATAACTTGTTTAAATGGTAACAGTAGAAATATAAATATTTTACTTCCAGAAATATAATGTAAGTCATGACTTTGCTGATTTGGCTATAAACATTAAAAAATGTGTTTACTAAAGTGAATATTTTTCTTTCATTTATTAGCTGAACTTGGAGACTACAACCAGTCAGAAAACTTGCCAGGCTACCTCTCAGATTATTCTTTCATTCCTAATCAACCTCAAGAGTTTGAAAAAGAAATTGCAAAATTACATCAGCAACATACGTAAGGATTTATTTACTTTTCTGCTTATTTGGTAAACTTTTTTGGGGGGGTTAATCTTCACCCGAGGATATTTTTAGAGAGTGGAAGGAAGAGGGAGACATAGAGAGAGAAACATTGATGTGAGAGAGAGAGAGAGAGAGAGAGAGAGAGAGAGAGAGAGACAGACAGACATCGATTGCTTGCATACCACACAAGCCCTGACGGGGTCAGGGTTTGAGCCTTTGACTGGAATTGAATCCGAGACCCAGTGCTCTAACCACTGAGCAACCAGCTAAGGTGGTAAATTTCTTAATGGTATCTTTTCTAGAGAAATGTTTTAAACTTGTTTAATGTAATTGTTATATTTACTTAAAGTAGAACAGTTACTATTATATAAAATATTATAATTGTTATAAAGAAATATAGCTGATCTATTTAAAAGAAAAATCATTGCTTATTTCATATGAGACTTGTTTTCATTTTTACTAAGAACTGTAAAGGTATATGTAAACAGAAATTTATTTGCTATTATATAAAACTAGCGGCCCGGTGCACAAAAATTTGTGCTCTTAGGGGGGTCCCTCTGCCCAGCCTGTGCCTTCTCGCAGTCTGGGACCCCTCGGGGAATGTCCACCTGCTGGCTTAGGCCCGCTTCCCGGGGGATCGAACTAAGCTGGCAGTCAGACATCCGTCTGGCAGCCCGGGAGCCCTCAGGGGATGTCCACTTGCCAGCGGGGAGCAGGCCTAAGCTGCAGTCGGACATCCTTAGCGCTGCTGAGGAGGCAGGAGAGGCTCCCGCCACCACCACTGTGCTGGCAGCCATCAGCCTGGCTTGTGGCTGAACAGAGCTCCCCCTGTGGGAGCACACTGACCACTAGGGGGCAGCTCCTGCATTGAGCATCTGCCCCCTCATGTTCAGTGTGTGTCATAGTGCCCAATCATTCCCAGTCATTCTGCTGTTAGGGTCAATTTGCATATTACCCTTTTATTATATAGAATTGCTAGTTTTCATTATCTAAACTTTTTTTTTACCTTCACCTGAGGATATTTTTTCCAGTGCTGCTCAGAGATAGTGGAAAGGAGGGAGGGCGGAAAAAATATGTTGATTTGAGACACGTCAACTGGTTGCATGCACCCTGACGGAGTGGAGAGTGAACCCACAATCCAGGCACATGCCCTTGACCAGGAATCGAACCTGCGACCCTTCAGTGTGCAGGGCCTCGCACTAACCACTAACCACACCAGATAGGCTATAATCTTTTCATTAAGTAAAGTTTTATATTTTATATAAATATATTAAGGTGATTTTTATTATATAAAGTTGCCAGGAATTTTAGACTACTAATCATATGTTCACCTTCTACTTACCAATTCTCTTTCCGTTTTTATCTGTGTGAAGGGACTTTTTTTTTTTTTTTTTGTAGTAATAATGAGCCAAGAGGAGAAAAGGAACTTTATATAGTACTTAATTAATAAAAATAAAAAAAATAGCCCTTTAAAGATAGTAGCCATTTTTCACTCATTACAGTATTCAACTTTGATATTTTATGTCTAATATTCTGTTACATAATCTTTTTCAAGAAGAGAGCTATTGTTTTGAATAGAAGGTAATATTGTTAATTGGGTCAGAGATCAGTTTTGCTTTAACATACCATTCAAATTACTCATGTAGAAGTTAAGGTGGTGTTGCATATTGGCTGAGTGTGAACTCAAGCCAGAATGTCTGGATTGGAATTCTGGTAAGGTTACATACTATCATGTAACCTTAGCCAGATGGTTCTATGTCTCTGTTTCCTCATATGTAAATTGGGAATAATAAAAGTTACCTACCTCTGAAGTTATTGTAGGGATTAAGTAAGTTTATACATAAGGTATTCAAGACAGCGCCTAGCACATAGTAAGCACTGAAGAAATATTAGTTATTATTATATTTATTATTTTTTTCTAATAGTAATTATTATTATCATTTTATTTAATTGATTCTTAGAGAGAGAGGGAGAAAGAGAGAGCGAGAGAAACATTGATGTGAGAGAGAAATGTCGATTGGTTGCCTCTCATACATGCCCCAACTGGAGATCAAACTCACAACCTAGGTATGTGCCCTGACTGGGATGATGTGCAAGACCTTTCAGTGTATAGAATGATGCTCCAACCAACTTAGTCACACCAGTCAGAGTTAGCTCTGACTATTAAAGAAAATTTATTTGGTAATGGCCTTATTTATTCAATACACATTGGCAAACTATAGCCCACTGCCTATTTTTTATGTCCCATGGGATAAGAATGGTTTGTATGGTTTAAATGGTTGGGAAAAACATTTTTAAATAATAACATTTTGTGGCACATGACATATTGAGAAATCCTAATTTGTGTCCATAAATGAGCACTTACTGGAACACAGATTCCCTCATTCGTCTACATGTTGTCTGTGGTTGCTTTCACATAACAGCAGTGTTTAGTAGTTGCAACAGAGACCATAGGGCCTGAAAGCCAGCTCTCTCCAGTAAAAGTTTGCGGACCCTAATCTAAAATAAGACTCCTGAATGAGAATTTTAAGACTGGCCTAATGTGGTAAGGGAGCTATTTTGGTCTAAAAGTAAATGTCATTTATAATGAAAGTTCTATACATAGCATATCCAAATCAAGGATTTGAAGATAAACCCAATTTATAAAAAATTTACCAATAATGAAAAGTCCCCTGCAAGGAAAAAGATTATACATTTAACAAGGTATTAATTATATATTTCTGTTTGGTTTAAAGAAATGATTCTTCAACTCTTTAAACAAAGAAAAAAATAGAATCATCTAGTTTAACTGGGGATGGTGTGGGAAAGATAGAATATTTAGCTTAATTGAATTGTAGACCGATCTGAAATATATCTGCTCTTTTTGAGGAATCTCATTTTTATCATAAATTGGCAAGCTGTTGGGGTTTTTTTTAGTATCAGTAGTGAATGATAGGCTTATATCTTTGTTTTTGTAATTTGCTGCTCTTGCTCTGCTGTAGTCTGATAACAACAGATAACTAAGGTTGTTAGAACAATATATATAATATAGAGGTAAGTCAGTTTTTAAAGGCATTTAAAATTATAGTTCTAAAACTTGTGTTTATAAGAATCACAGGGGATGTTTACTATCTGTTGTGAAAGACTAATTTTTCTCTACTCTGTCATGGAACAATACTTCTAAAATCTTCTATAATAATAAAAGCATAATATGCTAATTAGACCGGACGTTCTTCCAGGCGACCTTCCGGACGAAGCTGGGGCTGCCCGGGTCCCGGGTGCTGGTGGGAAGCCGGTGCCAGCAGCCAGGGGGAGGAAGGCCTACTCTTGCATGAATTTCGTGCATTGGGCCTATAGTATATAATAAAAATGAATTAATAGAAAATTAAAGTGGAGACATAAAGACAAAAAATTACAAGCCATTTTTTTGTTAGATTCAACAGACATGAAATTACTCCACCAAAATTCTATAAAACTCTGATTCTCTCAGTTTCTATATTTGTTATGAATCAATGCCTGTCTGTGCACCATTCTCTGAGAAACACTGCCCAAGGGTTTGTCTCAGAATCTATGTGTTTCAGAAGCAGTCTGTGTAATTTAAATGCAGATGTATACAAACACACTAAGTTATGTCTGGGAATGAGTGACTTTCTAACAGCCAAAGGAGCAGCTGTGAACTTTTAAAACTTAATGATTCTTATATTTTTCAAAAATAAGAAAATATTGTACAAAATAATAATTTGTGTTACTGAAAATGTACCCTCCAGATAAGTTAGATGTTACTGTACATAACTCAGAGGAGTGGTCATGCATGGTGTTTTGTAAAAGATTTAATTAGGATGCTGAAAAATGTCCAGATAAATAGCCTTTTCACTTTTGCCATATTTGTGATTGATTTAATTTTTAACCTAATGATGTCTTTACAGAGGCTTATCTCCTGCAGAAGCAGAATTTAATTACCTGAACACAGCACGTACCTTAGAACTCTATGGAGTTGAATTCCACTATGCAAGGGTAAGTGAAGAAATCTTACTTTGATATTGATGAGTTAGGCTCTATTGACATAGTAATGCCTAATAGCATTAGGTAACAAATGTAGCAACTAGTAAGTGCTGCCAGTATAGTTACACTGAAAATTTCCTTTAAGTGTAAGTATTTTCACACTCCCGTAAGATTCAATACCTAATGAAAATGGTTGAAGTAGATTTTTGATGTTATTTTTCTTCAAGGAAGTGATTTATGTAATCATGATAATTTCTGCAGAGCATAGGAGACGGTACCTTTAGAATTTTTATTTTAAAAATAAAGATTTAAGTTATAGGAAAAGTAGTTTTTTATATATTTAACTTTTTTTGATAAGCATTATCATAAAAGATGCTTTCACCACACTTATTTTACTTTCATCATTTAGTGATGTTAAACATTTTTATTTCTAAAGCACAAATGAAGCATATTAATATCTTTTGGCTGTCCCCTTCCCCCCAATCCCTTCATTAACTGGCTGGTGTTGCTCAGTTGGTTGAGCAGTTCGATGCCCAGTCAGGGCACATGCCTGGATTGTGGGTTCCTCCCCCAGTAGGGGGCATGCAGGAGGCAGCCAATGGATGTTTCTCTCTCCCTCTCCTCTTCGCTCTAAAAAAATCAATTAAAAAATCATTTAAAAATCTTTTTTAAAAAGGTGGAATTATGATCACTAGCTTCCCCACAGCACTCTTTTTTTTAATTGAGTCAAATGTAGCTGTTTCCAAAAGACTATATCCTCCTGCTATAAGGATATTTGTGAGTGGCTATTCTTAGTACACCTGGATTCCTTCTCATATTTTATCAAGAGGTTGTATTTCTGTAGAAGTAACTGGAGTACAGCTATTATCTGTAACCAGTGAAAAGTGGGAATATATAGGTAATCATCGGTTATGTTGGTGATAGGTTTTACATTCTCTTGGGACAAATTGCTGAGCCTAATAAGAATAGCAGCCTGAAAGGGCGATAAGTTTTGTTTAGTTATTTTGAATTTATTTTAATTTATAGATGTACACAGACAAACAGTGGTTTGAGAATTCAAAGTTCTACTTCATATAATGGTTTTATTTTTTAGAGCCTCACCTGGTTATGTTCTGAGAGGAGCACTAAGTCTTATATTTCACAAAGCTTATGTCAGTCTCTCCTTTAAAAATACAATGAGCCTAGCCATCATGGCTCAGTGATTGAGCGTTGACCTATGAACCAGGAGGTCACAGTTCAATTCCTGGTCAGGGCACATGCCTGGATTGTGGGCTTGACCCCCATTGGGGTGCATACAAGAGGCAGCTGATTCTCTCATCATTGATGTTCCTCTCTTTCTCTCCCTCCCTCTCCCCCCATTACTCCCTGATACCAATTTTAAAAAATATTTTTTTAAAAACAGAATAATTTGCTTTCCTAACGTTACTATATCTGATCATTCTTAGTGTCTGTGATTTGCAAATCTGTGTAACACCATTTAAAATGTGTAAGTTTCTGTCATAGACAGCAAGAGCACTGCTCAGCTCTGGTGCTCTGAGTTGCTCTGAATCCATATATTCTTCTAAATTCTTCCCCACTATGCCAGGGCAGGTTCCTTCTCGAACCCTGCCCACTGTACAAACTATTGGGAACTTGAGCCCAGGTTCCTCCTTTATCTTCTTCCATCCACTAGATGCAGTTGTTGGGTCCGACCACCTCTGCCTAGGGCTGGACCTCCTTGGACATCAGGTCTTAGAGAAGCCATGAGAGGTTGTGGGTGTGTAAGAATGAGTTTATATTGCAGAAGCCAGTGGCCATAAGCCATTAGACAAGACAGTCCTTCATAACAGTATCTCAATCAGGCAGCCATACATGGGTGGTAAATAGATACCTTTAGTTGCACATAGTTGCACCTCTAATAGTCTCTGTACCCACAGTCATTATCTGAGCAGTTGCACACTGGCCCCTAGACCAGTGATGGCGAACCTTTTGAGCTCGGCATGTCAAAATTTTGAAAACCCCTAACTTAACTTTGGTGCCGTGTCACATATAGAAATATTCATAATTTTTTTTTAATAGTTGCAACCATAGTAAAAAAAAGATTTATATTTTTGATATATATTTTATATATTTAAATGCCATTTAACGAAGAAAAATCAACCAAAAAATATGTATAAAATGAACAAAAACAGAAAAACAATGTACATTTAGGAAAAAATAATAAAAACAATGATAATCAAATGGTATGAAAACTAGAAATTAGTGACTTTTTTGGTGCTGAAGTTTGCTAATTCTTGATTGTAGGTTCATACTTGGTGAACTTCAAGGCCAAGCAAGCGCTACTAACTTCATCTGTTAGCCAGTTTCTTTTGTTCGTTTTAATATTATTTAATACTGAGAACAAAGTCTCACAAAAATATGTTGATGAAAAAATTGTTAGCAAAGTCATTGCTAGATTTTTTATGTCGCTAAAAGTGTCAGGTACTCTGTTCCAAGCACTCAAAATTTCTTGTTCGTAGTTGCACTCTTCTTCATTATTCAAATGATTTCGTTCCAGATTTTCAAGTTTCGACCTTAAGTCGACAAACACATGAGTCCAAATGCTACCTTGAAAATCTGCAAGTTGCATCTCTAAATCGTCAATTTGCATCCATTGGAAATCCTTTAATTCCAAAGTACTGTAAACAACTACATCCAGATACTTAATTATTTTAATGGTCTGTTCTAGGCTCCTAAATTGGTCAAATCTTTCACTGAACTGTTCAAATAATGAGTTTACTATATTCTGGTCCATAAGTATGGACTCCATTACACTCATTGTAGTGGCCTTCTCGAAATACTTTTTTATCTGAGGAAAATACTTAAAAGTTTTAGTTTCAACATCTCGCTTGAAAATTTTAGTTTGCTTTCAAAAGATTTGATGTATCCAAACATAACGTCAATACTTTTGCCAAAACCTTGTAATTTTAAGTTCAGTTCATTCATATGAATAGAGAGATCTGTAAAAAACATCAAATTGCTGACCCACTTATGATCATTGATCTGAGATCCTTCTTCTCAATAAATACCGTAATTTCTTCAAAGCACTCCACAAATCGCTCAAGTACTTTACCTCGACTCAGCCATCTCACATTATTGAACATCAGTAGTCCACTGTAGGTTGAATCAACTTCCTGTAAAAGTGCAGAAAATTCTCGCTTGTAAAGGGGTCGAGAAGCTATAACATTCACAATTTTTGTTACAACTGACATTAAATCATTCAATTCTGAGAATCCCGATTTGGCACACAACACCTCCTGATGGATAATGCAATGAAAAGGTACAAGTGGATGTCTAATTGCTTCCATAAACAATTTCAGGAATCCCACATTTTTTCCCACCATATTTGGTGCCCCATCTGCCATTGACTGACACAATTTTAGAGATATCAATGTTTAGGTCACTGAATGTTTTTATAACAACCTTACATATTTCGTTTCCTGATGTACTTATTGGCACTGATTCTAACTTTATCAACTCTTCTCTCACTGTGAGACCATCAGAATATCTAGCAATAATGGCCAACCAAACATTTGATGTGACATCAGTAGTTTCATCAAGAGAAATCAAAAAATATTTACAACTATTTAAGTCTTTTTTTAATTGATGTACGTTTTTGTAAAGATCTATTCTGTCTTTGATAGTATTTCTACTGAGTGGTAACTCAGAAATTCTTTTAATAATATCTTTATTTTTCATATCGTGAAATAGAGCTGGTGCACATCTTAGAAATGTTTCCTTAATAAATTCTCCATCACTGAGGGCTTTTCCATGCTGAGCTATGGAGTGAGCAATACAGTAACTTGCTGATGTTAAATTTGTAAAGCATCTTACAAATTTAATGATGGAATTAGATTGGCTTTTATAGAGGTGTAGCTGCCTAGAAATGTATTCCTTCCTTTCATCGATACTTTTTTTCAAGAGCTGACAATGATTAGTTTTAAAGTGTCTCTTTACATTCCACGTTCTGCTTACTACCATTTCATTACACAGTATGCACAATGATCTGTTGTTTCTGTCGACAATCCCGTACATCTCGGTCCATATGTCTTAAAAGGTCGGCTACTGCTACTTCCACTTCCTTTATCATTCAATCTTGCTTTTTTATTTTTTTGATTCTCCATCCCAAGGCTGCAAAAATAAATAAATAGAAATCACGGCATTTTTTATAAAAGGTTGATAGGTTTCTTACCTATTAACTTTTTGCAGTGTTGTTGCACTGACTCCTGGTGCAAAACAATTCAAAGGTAGTATGTATAACCAACAAATATATGGTACTGTAATCAATTATCTGACACGCAGAATGTCTTGTCGAGCACTGTTGCACTGTATATATTTTTCTTCTAACCCTCTCACTCCTGTTTCCTAACGAACATGGCAATCAAGTGCGTCCGTTTGCTGAATGCACCCCAACGCACGGGAAGCTTACCCGAGGCACATACTGGCAATAACGAGGCCATTTCCAGAATTGGGCATTTTGTCACTCGAGTAAAAATAAAATGTCATGAGTAAAGATTAATCTCTTTATAGTGCAATTCTAAACCTTTTCATATTAATGTCAATATTGGAACAATGTATCTTGGATGTTTTCACTATGTGTCTTTGCTATGCAACACCGATGTACATGTTTATATCCGGTTTTAGAATTGCATTATTGATCATGAGTAACATGAGTAATAATATTACTCGAGTGATGCCCAACTCTGGCCGTTGCGAGAGACAAATATTTGAATTATGCAATTTTTTGTCTCTGTCGATGTGTGTCACCCAAAATGAGTTCGCGTGTCACCCCTGACACATGTGTCATAGGTTCGCCATCACTGCCCTAGACTCAGCACTTCACATCATAGTGGTGCCTAAGCTCTCTGCCTCAGCAGCTTCTCTAGCCTCTCTGGTTCAGCAGCTTCTCCTGTCTTTCCTGCCCAGCACACTGGTCTCTGTAGCCTCACATAGTAACTACCTCCAAGCTTCTTTCCCAGCTCCATCTCTCCAGC